GTAAAGCTCCGCTAAGAGGGAGAGTGCCGAAGAAGGGGACAGTCTCTGTACCTGTGGCGCGGCCCGAGGGACGGACGCGACTGGAGTGGCGCGCTGGAGGCTGTTTACAGCCCTGTTAGGACCGCGCAGGGAGTGAAGGCGGAAGCCTTAGGTGAGGGGCCTCGGGCCTGCTGCGCCTGCAGGGAGTTGAACAAAACGCGGGGAAACACGGGCTGGGGGTGTGTGAGAGGAGGAGCGATGGGCTTTCTACTTCCACAGCTTTAAAATTTAAAGGCTCGACCCGGGAGGCTGTTGGCGTCTGGTTTCCATGACAACCGACAGCCTCGTGGCAGGCGGGCTGGGGGCGGGGTTCTGGGGACCTGGGCGGGGCTGTGGCGGGCCTAACGGGCTGCAGCTGAGAAACTGACCCCCGAAACGGAGCCGGAAGGCCGTTATTTAGTGGCGGCTCCGAGCCTCCCCTTCGCCTTCTGGATGCGCCGAGCTCCTCAACGTGGCGTTCAGGGCCCTGCATTGTCTGGTCCGTTTTCACTGCAGATTCCAGCAACTGACACTTTCTTCCCTTAAACCTGTTGGGCGGTTCATTCCTTTGAGCTACTGTACATGCTCTTCCTTCTCCCGCTAATGCCGTTCCCTCGCCTATTGTCTTGTTCGCCTGAAGAGTTTATCAGAGTCTCTGGAGGCCCTCTTCACCTCGACGATTCTGTTGCCCTAAGAAATATTGTGCCCTGAATTGCGGAACAGAGCTCTAGTTACAAAAAACACCCGCTGAGTGTGTGCACCAGATGCGTCCCCAACCTGCTGCTCCCAGTTGAGAGTGCACCAAGCACCTGCCCTGGTCCCAAAAGCACAGAGGAAGCAAGCAGCCCCTAATTCACATCTCCTGCCGCTGCCCTGATTGGGGATGAAGGGGCACTGACTGCAGGGCCAAAGCCACAGCGGCCTCTCCGGCTGCAGGGTTCTCCTGACACTGGCTCTAGAGGACCCTCACCCCCCAGCTCTCAAGCTCAAGCTCCCCAGTCCCCTGAAGAACAGGACCATCTCCTTTAAAACTCTAAGATACAAATGCAGGGGCTGGTCAGAGTGGTGACTCCAAAAAAAAAAAAAAATCACTGGGTGACTGCAAACTGTCAGCCAGGCATGGTGACACATGTCTGTAATCGCAGCACTTTGGGAGGCTGAGGCAAGAGGATCACTTGAGGCCAGGAGTTTGAGACCAGACTGGGCAACAGGGAGACTCCATCTCTGCAAAAAATAAAAATATTAGCCAGACGTGGTAGTACATACCTGTAGTCCCAGTTATTCAGGAGGCTGAGGTGGGAGGACCACTTGAGCTCAGGAGGCCGAGGCCTCAGTGAGCTATCATTGTACCACTGTACGCCAGCCTGGGCAACAAAGCCAGACCCTGTCTCCCAAACAAAAAAGCAAGATGTTGGCCAGGCACGGTGGCTCACGCCTGTAATCCCAGCACTTTGAGAGGCTGAGGTGGGTGGATCACGAGGTCAGAAGATCGAGACCATCCTGGCTAACATGGCGAAAC